ACACTGTACTTTATGAGCCGATGTGTTATTTGGCTGACAGATCACCTCTGGGAGTGGCTTCAGTTCCAGGTTCAAAGAGTATCTTAGGAAGACAGTCTTGGGGGTTCCTCTCCTGGCTGTCAGTCCAGTCACATTCAGGAATTTGAGTTTGTTGTGTCTGTGACCTCTGCTGTGTCCCTGGTCAGGATGGTCAGCAGTGGCTGCTGGGCCCCATCTAGTTCTGACCGCAGGGTAGAGGAGGCCATGGTCTCTGTCGACAGTCAGTCCTGTGGACTAGTTTCTTACTTGTGTCTTTGGTTTCCTTCTTGATGAGTAAAGACCCCAAGTGGTATCTTAGGTGGCTTCTCACAAGCTTGTAAGACTCTGGACACTGTTCACCAAACTAGGAAGCAGAACTTATCTTGACGAACTACACCGGTTGACTGAGCTGTCCCACGAGAATATGGTCCTAAGTCCTTCTTTGCACTAAACCAGTCCCACGAGGTGTTTGGCTAGGTCCAGGAGGTCTCCATGACTGTGCCCCCTGTGAGTTACTGAATGTATGAATATATGCAGCACACACAAACACGCATGTACGTGTGCCTCCAGGGGCACCCATGCGTGCCCAGCCCTGTGCTCACACATGCCCGCCTGGGTAGATACGTGCATGCAGGCCTCCCCCATGTAACCACATGCGTTTTGTGGCTCTTGTTACTGTTGTTGCAGAGTTGCATGTTACAGAGTCTGTCCCTTTTTCTTGTGTACTTTCTTAATGTCATCAGTGACCTTGGTCACCTTGTGCAGACTTCATCCATGTGGGCCACTGCCTTTCCCATCCCCAACGATCACAAGGCTCTACTGTCTAGAAGGAGTTCTGCTTTCTTTCTAGATAGCAGACAGTTGTTATTTTTGGTGATGGTATAAGGAAACAAAAATCTTCACAACTGGACCAATCAGCAACATCACGATAAATGGAGAAAAGGTTGAAGCTGTCAAAAATTTCAGTTTACTTAGATCCACCATCGACACCCATGGAAGCAGCAGTCAAGAAATCAGACGACATAATACGTTGGGCTACAAAAGACCTCTTTAAAGTGCTGAAGAGCAAAGATGTCTCTTTGAAAACTAAGGTGCACCCAACCCAAGCCATGATATTTTCAGTCACCTCATGTGCATGTGAAAGCTGGACAACGAATAAGGAAGACCGAAGAAGAGTTGATGCTTTTGAGTTACGGTGTTGGCTAAGAATACAGAAAGTCCCATGGACTGCCAGAGAATGAAGGAATCTGTCCTGGAAGAAGTACAGCCAGAATACCCCTTAGAAGTAAGAATGGCCAGACTCCATCTCACCTACTTCGGTCACGTTGTCACAAGAGACCATTCCCTGGAGAAGGACGTCATGCTTGGTAAAGTGGAGGGTCAACGAGAAAGAGGAAGGCCCTCAATGAGATGGATTGACATGGTGGCTGCAGCGATGGGCTCAGGTATAGCAAGGACTGTGAGGCTGGCTCAGGACCAGGCAGGGTTTCGTTCTGTTGTACACAGGGTCGGTGTGAGTCAGAGCCAACTTGATGCCACCTGTCAATGACGACAGCTATCCAGAAAATGATTCCCTTCCTTCTCCTTCCCATCTCTGGTAACTGTCAGAGAAGGTTGTTTTTTGTATGTCAGCCTATTCTTGACTTTTTGCACTAATGAACCACTTGCCCTTCTGTCATTAACTTTTTGCACTCAGCACAGTGCCCTCTGGGTTCATCCATGTTATAAAATGTTTCCCAGGCCCCTCATTATTGTTCATGGCTGTGTAGTACCCCATCGTGTGTATGGACCGCAGTTTGTCGATCCATCATCCGCTGATGGGCATGGAGGTAGCTCCATCTCTCTGCTGTTCGGAATAGTGCTGCAATGGACATGGGTTGCATGTATCTACCACGTCACTGCTCTTTGTCTCTGGGATACACTCCTGGGAGTGGAATTGCTGGGTCTGAGGTCTCTCTAGTTGTAGTTTTTGAGGATGGGTTTTCCATGAAGGTTGTTCCACATTACAGTCCCACCAGCAGTGTACGAGGGTTGCAGTCTCCCCACAGCCTCACCGGCCTTGATGCCGTCTGTGTTTCAGACCACTGCCCTTCAGTGGGGTGAGATGGTATTTCATCATACTGTAGCTTTGCAGATTTGCAGTGGCCAGTGATCGTAAGCGTCTCTTCCTGTGTTTGTTGGCTGTTGCAATGTCCTCTTTGGTGCAGTGTCTGTTCCTGTCCTTTGCTCATATTTTGATTGTACTGCTTGTCTTTTTGTTGCTGAGTTGTTGACGGTTTCTCTGTGTGTGTGTGTGTGTGTGTGTGTTTAAGTTTTGTGATGTGGGTGGAAGTTTACAGAGCAAATTGATTTTCCATACAGTAATTCTTACACATTTTTTTTTTTGTTTCATGACATTGACTGATTCCCACAGTGTAACAGCTCTCTTCGCACTCCCTCCCCATGGTTACCTTTCCCTGTGTCCTTCTTTCCTATGCATTTCTGTCCCCTGAGCTGTCTCCCTGTGCAAACATTACCCTTCCATTCTCCCATGATTGATCTCTCCAAGCAGTGTATCTACCTGATATAAATGTTCACCCTATATGCCTGCCTGTTGCTTGGCTGGAAGCCACAGGAGTGAGCTCAATTCCAGACCTGAAGGGTAACTAGGGGCCATAGTCTTGAGGGTCTCACCAGGCTCTATCAGACCAACTATAGTAGTTAAGTTTGTGTGTCAACTTGGCTGGGCCTGGTTGAGTGGCTGGGCAGCTGAATGTAGTTATGCCCCATGGTGAAATTAATAATTAACTCCGTGGTGAGATTAGTAATTAACTCTATGGTGGAATCTATTGGAGGAGCGGAGTAGCTGCTTTGGGTATGTGGACTGCTTCCTGTATATAAGCTTTGGGAACGGTCTCTAGCTTATGGCACACTTGAACCCTGCATGTAGCTGTGTCATTGTTCAGCAGCCTGCCGTGCTCTGCCAATGTGGGGACTTACAATAAACTTGAATTAACAGCCTGCCGTGTGGTTTGGTAACATCGGGACTGTGCCTTTTTACTTGTCAGCCTTGGGCTTGTCAGCCTTAGCAGCCAGCAGCTGTCTGAGTGAAGGAAAGCCTCCAGCTTCCGTGGGCTGGGAGCAAGAGGCAGAGCTGAAACCCAAGGCTGAGGTTCACCCAGTCCCTAGAGCCTGGCACTTTGACCTCAGACTTAAAGCCTCCAAACTGTAAGAGAATAAACTCCTATTTGTTAAGGCCATCCATTTATGGTATATTCTTATCAGAGCAGCACTAAGGATCCAGCAAACCTGGTCTTTTTTATGATTTTGAGTTTTGTTCCACATTGTTCCCTCACTCTATCCAGGATCTCTTGCACTGACCTCTTTCTGAGTGGTTGACTGACAGTGGTAGCTGGGCACCATCTAGTTCTTCTGGTTTCATGGTCATACAGGCTGAGGATTGCATGGTGTACCAGTCCCTTAGACTAATTGTTTCCACAAATCTTTGGTTTTCTTCATTCTTCTTTGCCCTGGACGAAGAGAGACCCATTGTTGCATCTAAATGGCTGCTTACAAGTGTTTTAAGACCCCAGTCGCTACTCACCACAGTGGGATGTGGAACAATGTTTTGTGTAGTATATTATGGCAGTTGAGCTTGATGTCCCCTGCAACCATGGTCCTGAGCCCACAGATCCAACTACTCGCTCCCTCAGCTGGTTGGCTGTGGCTATGAAGTTGTAACCTTGCCACCTGTTAGTTCTATTTATATGGACATTCTTATAATGCATGCAAGTACGTATGTAGAACTATCACCTGCCAGCCTTATATATTGTTGTTGTTGTTAAGTGCCGTCGAGTCGTTTCCGACTCATAGCGACCCCATGCACAGCAGAACGAAACACTGCCCGATCC